TTAAATTTATTGCTTATATTTGTCGCGTATCTAAACAGTGTAATTTTTAAAAAAAGAATATAATTTAAATTAATTAATATTCTAATTTGTATCAGCCTAAACTGCTGTTTAAGTATATATCATCAATTTCCCTGAACCTCTGAAAATTTTTGAACAAATTTAATAAGAAAATTAATTCATAACAAAATATTTTATCGGAAATTATATAATATAATATCAATTTAATTGTTATTTATTTACAATAGATGGATTCTAAAATATTTTAACATTTTTCCTCTTCAGAAAAACAAAAAATTAGTTATCGTACATTAATAAATCTATACATTTTTTATATATTTTTACATAGATCATCAGTAAGCATGAATTTATAATCATTAAAATTGGCAATTCAAATTTAATCTTAATTTAAAAAATTAGATTATATTGTCACAATCTGAGCTAAGATTTACATAACAGCATTACAAAACAATATTATATAAATGGCATAGAAAAAAATAATATATTATTTATAAATAGAATCTCATCTTTGTTTGATATCATTTAGTATCTTTATTTAATAATAATAAAATAAAAACAATATTCTTTTTTATTAATCACATTTCTTAGCTCAGTGACATAATAATTTAATAAATACAAAGGTTGTATAAGGTGCTATGTATAAATATAAGTACAAATTTTAGGTTCAGGGACCAATAAAAGAGCTAATTGCTCTATGCAGCAGTCTTCTAAATAATTGGTTTGATTTGGATAAAGTATACTGATTAGAAATATAGCAGTATTTTTACAAATGCTATTAAAATTCCTGCTTGATTTTTATACATGCCTTTTTATTGGCTACTTTTTTAAATGGCTTTGTAATTTTCAGTATACTTTATGCAGAGCTTTACCACGATATATGTTCCTTACAAGCAAATCATTAGTAATGTCTTTTCACAAAAATATTAATTAAAAGACATTACAATTATTATAAATATCGTAATTGTTATTGTTGTTGTTATTGTTATAAAAAGTATTAACTTTTAACAAATTTGTCATATAGCAATGCGTGCCAGAACTGAAGCTTTCTTTTGATATAGATCTATTTAATAATTAACTAATAACTATACAAAGCAAAATGAAACACAAAAATTATATTTTTGGCTAATTTAATTTTCTATACAATATATTGATGTCACTATTATTACTGCAAACTTTGATTACCTTTTGCAATATATAATTTTTTAAAAATAAATTATGAAACAAAATATGAAAATAGAACTACATATTGTGTCGTTCTTATATAAAAATAAGGAAAAATAAGAAATTTATTTCTATATTAAAAAAAGGTATATGTGTGATTTCAATGTTAATTTAAAATCAAAATTTTTATTATTCATTACAACGAAAACAAAAAAGACGAAATATAAAATTATACGATAAAGGCAGCATAGATGTATGATATTATATAATTAATTTATTAATTTAATTATCGATATTTAAACACGAAATATTTTGATTAAAATAAAGTGTTTCGTTTTCACATTCCATAAGTTTAATTATGTGAAAAAAATATTTATTAGATTAATTTTCAATGGATTGTAGATATTTATTTATATGATATTAATGATGGATGATACCAAAAAAATTTGTTAATTTATTATATTATATTATAATTCATTTGATTGACTAATAGATTTATACAATTCTAATGACAGTCAATATAATAGCAGCCTTATAAGATAAAAAACAAGGAAAATTTTATTAAACGATAATCTTAAGCTTTAATATTCTGAGGCTACATTCTATTTTAGAAAGTATACAATATAAAAAAATTTATGCAAAATAAAATGAATTAAAAGCTATAGAAAATTTAAATATATTATAAGAACTAGTATTAATAATTTTGACTTTTCAGCAAAGCACACTTAGATGTAAATACATATATGTTTTTAGCTTAAATTTATAAAAGAAAAATATAAACTGCATAGTTCAAACAAAAAAGAAATAAAGGCTGTAAATATATTGAATTTGATACATAAAAAACATTTATATCTAGCTCTAATTGCAAAAATGCATACCTATTTTCATATGATTATAAATTAAACTTTTAATGTAATTATATTATACCATTATTAGACACAATTTTTTTCATTAAGTTTTATAATGTTTTTAATAAGTAATTTTCAATGACGAATAACAAACTGTAATTTCAAAAAGTATGTACATACAAATATGTTTTGCTTAATTTGATGTAGCAAAATCTGCATTTAAAATTTACATACTAAAAATATATCATATAATAAATGAAATTGTTCTATTATTTTTATAAATTAATTATATGTTATTAATTTTTATAAATTAGAAAAATATAAAATAGCATATTTTTATATTTTTAATTTTCTATATTGCCAATTTCAAAAAATATAAAGTACTTTGATAAATATAAATGTATATATGTAATATGTTCTGATATTACAATTATACATAAAATATAATCACAACAATAGATTTTATTCAAAATTTTTTGTTATTTATAAGAACATAAATAATTATAACTCAAAAAACAAATTAAAATTAATTGTCTAGATAAATTAATATCATAATATTATAAAAATTTTCTTCTTAATGAGATAATAATTTAACTGTACAAAAATCATAATCAAATGAAACAATATTAACTTACAATTTGAAGTAATAATAAAATTGTTAAATTATTAATTAAAATAATTTCTTTGATACTGTTAAAATAATAATCTCTAATAATTTTATAAAAATGTAAATTAATATTTTACACTAATATAAAAAAATATGTATTCCGTCTATAATTTTGTAAAAAAAATTAACACTTTTCTTCTTTATATTAATATTGAAACATAAAGAAAGAAAATAAAAATATTATTATATAATATTAAAAAAACATGTCTTTAATAAAAATTGTTTTATGATAATACAAATTTTATATGATTATAATGTAGCGGAACTGCACACGAAAATTTAACATTCATTAATATGTAAAAAATTTTGTAATATTAATGTATCATTCTATAAAATCTTAAGTTGCAAAAAAAATAATAAATATAGTTGTTTAATAAATAACATATAAAACATTATTTTTTAATTTATAAAAAATTATTAATTACATTTAATAAATTTTTAAATTTATAGGAATACAGGTGTACCAATCGTAAATATATTTTATATTTGGTATCTATATATTTGGTATAAATATATATTTTCAATGTATTATTTAAATAAAAGAATAAAAAAATTATTATATAATGTGTAAAAATAAATATAATAAAAATTTAATAATATTTATTATTATATATGAAAGTCTAATAATTAATTATTTCATTTTAATCATCAATTATTTTTTTATATAAATTATAAATTATTATATTAATTATTATTATATTATAATTAATATCAAGTATTATAAAAACTAAAATAAATAAATTTAACAAATATATTTTATATATTTTAATATTCTATTATGGATAATATTTTTTATTATAAAAATATATATTTGTATAAATATATATTCATATAAATAATGATATATTATTTTTATATCCAATAAAATGCAATAAAATACAATATATCTATAATATTGTAATAATATTATATAATAATAAATTTTTATTCAAAAAGACAGTCGTAATTTAAATATCAAATTCAAAATTTCAATTAATAATATTAAAAATATTGTGTTCAAAAAAATTACAATTCATTAATTAATAAGAAATTTATATAAATTTAAAATTGTAATTCTTTTGATAAAATCAGCTTCTTCGAATGCGATGTTATATTGACGTCAACGGAGATCGATAGCTCTACTCACGGTATGAATCTACAATATCTTGAAAACGTTCACGGTAATTTGTCATCCATTTCTCTAAACAGTTGGCAGAATTTGTGCGTGTGGTGTGTGCTAGTCTGCCGACGGCGTCCGTTCATAGAAAAGAGAGAAGACATAAGAGCCTTTTGTCAAATTAAAGTAATTTAGTTGAGAAAAAATTTTAATAGTTAGAGAAAAGAGATATCAAGATAGTTAAGGGTAACAAAGTGGTAGTTCAGCTGCGTTTTGGATTTTCTGACCTCTTGAACTCCCCGCGGGTTTTTTCTTTCCCGCGAGGTGAATAACAGTGGTACATAGCCAAACCCCTGACCCCTCTGAAGCTTCGCGCCTCGGCGCCTAGGCTATATCAAAAGGAAGGAGAAAGAAATTGCGGAAGCGGGGAGGTTAAGAGGACGGCACGAAAGGGACAACGCGCCGTCCATCACCATGAAGCTCGTTGACCACGTGGTGAGGAGCTTCAAGGTGGCCAAAGTTTTTCGTGAAAATTCTGATCGAATAAATAGTATCGACTTTTCACCAAATGGGGATACTTTGATCTCTTGTTCAGAAGATGACCAGATCGTGATATATGACTGTGAAAAAGGCACTCAGGTGCGTACAGTCAATTCTAAGAAATATGGTGTAGATTTAATCCATTTTACACATGCAAAGAACACTGCAATACACAGCAGTACCAAAATTGATGATACTATTCGCTATTTGAGTCTTCATGATAACAAATATATAAGATATTTCCCAGGTCATAGCAAGAAAGTTGTATCATTATGCATTAGTCCTATAGAAGATACATTTCTTTCTGGTTCTTTAGATAAATCATTAAGATTATGGGATTTACGTTCACCTAATTGCCATGGTGTTATGAATGTTTCTGGACGTCCAGTTGCTGCATATGATCCTGAAGGTCTTATTTTTGCAGCAGGTGTCAATTCAGAATTTTTAAAGCTATATGATTTACGCAGTTTTGATAAGGGGCCATTTGTTACATTTAAATTATCTCAAGAAAAAGAGTGTGATTGGACAGGACTAAAATTCAGTAGAGATGGTAAAACTATTTTGATTTCTACAAATGGTAGTACAATTCGTTTGATTGATGCATTTCATGGTACACCATTACAAACATTTGCTGGCTATTTAAACAATAAGGGAATTGCAATTGAAGCCAGTTTTAGTCCTGATTCACAGTTTGTATTTAGCGGATCTACAGATGGTAGAGTACATGTATGGAATGCAGAAACTGGATACAAAGTTTGTGTGCTTAATGGAGATCATCCAGCACCAGTTCAGTGTATTCAATTTAATCCTAAATATATGATGTTAGCATCTGCCTGTACTAATATGGCATTTTGGTTACCTACTGTTGATGAAAGTGCATAAAATCAATGCATCAGACTTTGGGCAATGCTCACAAGAATTTATCTAATTTTGTGCAAGATAGAACTGAAAATGACATCGGTTCAAGAAAGAAATGACAACCAAGAACTCTTGGGTATTTTAAATGAGCAGAAATTGCATTTACATTATATTCAAAGTTAACTAACCGACGTATGAGACGCCGGTGTTGGAACAAACCCAAGAAAGAGAAATATGCCTATAATATCCAGGAGATAGATCGGCCCGCTTGGCTTATTCGCTTGCTTCGAGTATGTCATATACTGTTTATGTATTTTGCCATCTTCATCATCATCGTCATATACTCTGTGGCGCGATGAACGTGACCATAAAATATCTTGTCAATATTTAAAACTATCTCTTTTTTCTCAAAGTATATAAATATTGTTAGTTTTGGATATATCATCTTGTGTACATAATTTCTTCTTGTGTACCTGTATGTAGCATAATGATGCAGAATTATCCATAAATTACAAAATCTAAATTATATATTATCAGTTATTGAAATTTACATAATCAATATTAACATTTTATTATGTGTTATTGATTATGTGTTTGATAATACTTTAACAAATCTATTAACTTAAATAATCAGATTGTTTTGATTTATTGTTCAACAAAAAATTAACATATAGTATATATTAATAGAAAATCATAAACTTATTTATATATTTTTTAATTGAACAATTTTTTCATTGAATTTATTCATTTGATAAGTTTATAAAGCACAAAGAAAGAAAAAATATATAATATTGTTGTATTAATATTTAGAAAAAGAATTAAATTCTATATGTACACATGAAATTTTACAATATTCAGAAATATATGCATCACGTACATTTGATTCTATAGTAATCGGTTTATAAAGACAAAAATGGCAGTCGCTGATATCGCGCATGGAGAAATTATGATCATATTACATTAATACATATCTTAACAAATTAGTTTCATTAATTAAATTCCTCAGTGGCCGTCCGAAATCAGGGATATTTTTTGTAACCTATTATGAACGGGCGTTCACTTGAAATTCAATATCGTTGCGCGCAAGAATGATAGATATCGAGCTTATTTATTATGCGCAATAAACGTGTGAAACGTTTTAAATAGACACTTTGTTGACGGCAGTAATATATCTCATGTTTCTACGACTTCCATGCGATAAAGGTATAATAATTCAGAAAATATACTGCCAACGTTGGCACTTATGTTATTGTATATGTATTATTCTAGATATGGTATCGGTTTTAATCTACATGCGTGGAACCGGCGGGCCGGGTGAAAAAACATTCGATGATAGTAGGAAGTGCAGTTAAGTCTAATCATTTCAAGTAGTTTGGTAAATTTTGACGTTTATATCAATGCGATACATCTTACTATAAGCCAACAGGTGCATTGGAAAGGACAGGCAGAAACACAAAAAATTGGACAATCCATCTTTTTTATACTATGTAATTGTATTAATTGTAATTAAATAATTGTTTTGTTTTATTGTATATGTAAATTTATATATGATGGATTATCGAATTTATATTATTACTTAAGTTAAAAAATCTGGATATTGTAAGAACACGTCAAAAAAATATTTCACAAAATTGTGTAATTTATACTATATATTTACATAATGCTGTGTATATTCTGTCTGTTCGATTATATAGCCCTGCCTTCATCATACGTGTATATATCATTATATTCACAGTGTCCTCTAGAGTTTCTAGACGTTTTCCTTAACATACCTTATGCAAGAGTAGATGGTTATACTATTCTATACGAAAAATGCGCATATATGCGTAACACGTATGATTGTGTTGCATATTTGTGAATTGTCTATTGATTCTACAATGGTGTATGAATGTATGTATGAATGTCTCTTTGTATGTATTGTATTCGCTTGTATACTTCGAGTTTGGCGAGCTCTTGAATGCATTACGTATACGTCAATGCTTGAGAGTTCGTTTCATTATGTAAAATAGTATTTTTCTAAATGGCGAAACAGTGTACGCGTGCAAAGATTGCGATTTATGTTAGACAAAGGGAAGGATACGATTGTTATTTAAAAATGTGTCCTGTGTAATTAAAAAAAAGAAATGTTAAAAAAAAAATATGTTGATTTCATGAAATGGATTAAAGTTCACTGGGTACCGAAGAATAAACTCAACGAAATCAAATCTTGAAAGTATCGTGATCAATCCACGTATATAGATTAAACACTTTCATACTGCCAACTATAATTGAGTAAATATTCAAGCCAAGAATATCTCAAATATGAATTTCTATAATTCGTGCAACATGCGAAACACTGTGTTCCCAATCGGAAAAAAACGACAACCTGTATATATTCTAACAAGTTATGACGGAATATCATTTGATCGATAATTAATATTCTTCCGTGACCGAAAATCGATTATTGATCAATCAGATTTTGGAATGATTATAATTTCACACAATTGTTTTCATATTTAAAATGATTAGGAGCGTAAATAAATAATTCTTTTCTATTGAAAATTTTAAAACTCCTTATAACATTTTATATATAAAACAATATGTTTTTTTAACATCAATTTTTGTTTATTGTTTGTATATTTACATTTTATTATCCATAACAGAGATATATAATCTATAAAAAAAAGATATTATTTGAATGAAAAATTGTTTACAATCTATTCATTTAGTTTAATTTTTAATCACATTCATTTATTTAAGTAGAAGACAAAAAATATGTCTAAATATCTCATTTATGTCTATATATCTCATTTACGCTCCTATCATAGCCGTCGATTTATGTGACTACTTAACATAGGGATTTAAAATTGAGTTAAGATTAAATGTATATTGTATCGAAATTAAATGAATCTTAATTAACACAATTGGAAAAGCGATTTATTAAAATGCATGAAACAAAAAAAATAAACAAAAACTAAACATAGTTCATGAAACAATTTGTCTAATTGTACTAGAAATATTTATCTAAAAAGTTCTCTTTGAATAAATTTAAATTTTCCTACGTTAAGTTATCGTACGAAATAATCGTCGTTATGTTTTATAGACGAAACGTAGTCACGTTTAATACTAATTTTTAATTAAATTTTACATTATTCTGCGCAAAAACTAAGTCGATTAATTAACACCTGTTATACGTAATACATTATAGATTTTTAGAGAACTAGGAACATACAAAAACAAATGTGTCATTATATAAATATAAATTTCAGTTGAAAGACTGCAATTTCTTCCAATAATAATTTAGAGTACGCACATTTTTATTGTTATTTATATGTTTATATTTTATCACAACTCAATTGCATTGTAAGACATTCATTTTTTTTTTAATTATTATAAACAATTGAATGAGAAATGATATTAAAATATTCTTGAAACATGTAATTTCAAGTTACAGGATTTTGAACGTGTGTACTCATAATTTATTTTTTCATTATAAGCTATGTAATTTTAATCATGTTTTGTGCATAATAGATGAGAAATGAATAAGATATATGATTATGCAATTAAATATTCCTTAATGAATAAAACTTTTCACATTATATTTTATGAAAATTATAATAAGAATTCGATTTTTAAGAAGATAAGAAAGTTTTCTGATCGCATTTATCTATGTTCCAGTTCACTAATTATAAATCAAAATAATATGGAAAGATTTTTTCCCACATTAAATGTAATAACATATCAGCATTAGAAAATTTTAATTAAATCTTCTTAAACATATTCGTAAAAAAATTCTTTGATAATAATGTTTCGATTTAATCATTCATTGCGCAGATAATTTTTTATTTTCCTTAAAAACTATTTGAATAGAACACATGAAATTTTACTAAAAAAAAAATTCTAATAAAACACTTTTTTTGTACATTAAAATTTGGTCTTATCATTTTATTTCTATACTTGTTTCAATTAATTATTTTTAAAACACAAATTTAATCCTAATAAAAAAATAATTTGTATTCTTTTATGTATACATTATATATTTTTTATTTACGTCTGATCATGTTTATATTGTTTTATAAAATCATAAGTACGATAATGTTGAATAGCGATTTTAATTACTAAAATTATGTAACACGTGTATTAATATAATCACATTTATGCAGTAAATTGATGGAATTTCTAGTAATTAAAGTTGTGCAAATATTATTAATTATAGTATATATGTAATTCCCTTTTTCATGCAATAAATTTATCATTTATGGTACATAATTGGTCATACATTTTGTTCAGATGTAATAATTATGAAAATGCATTATTAGTTTTTATATTTTTGGATGTTACATTAATAATATTTTTATTATTTTGAAGTTATTATGTTTCATGATATTATTATTTGTTTATTGGGATATAAATGAATATGAATAATATAATAATTTATAAATATAATAAATTATAAAATGAATTTAAATAAAATATATAAGTACTTAAAAATTATATATATTTTATAATTATATTTATAACAGAATGACATAAAATTAATATTATAAAATAATATATAAATATTTTTCATTCATATTATAATCATTATAAATTTTGCTGTAAATATAAATTATTAGATTAATGAAAATAACTGATGATTTTCATAAAATATACAAAAATTATAAAAAAAATTTTTAAAAAGACGTAACTAATTAATTTTTAAAATTATTTTTATAATATAATAACAAATATAAACGATATTTCTTGACTCTTGTTTTATTCATTTATCGTTCGTATGTGATACAATTGTTTTTCTTCTTCAGAAATGGAAACTGGTGCTCCTGACATTAAATCTCGTCCTGTCATAGTTTTTGGAAATGCTATAACATTTTTTATATTTTGTTCGTTACATAATAAAGATATTAAACGATCCAATCCTAAAAAATAATTTAATAAAAATATTTGTTTATTATTATATCATATTTATTATATTATGATATATTTATTATATTATATTATCATATTATATTATTGATTATTGATATTTAAACTAAGAATAAATTACCTATAGCAATTCCACCATGAGGTGGAGCACCAGATTCTAAAGCATTAAGAATGTGCATTAAGGATGATTCATTTATTTTTAACATTTTTAATATTTGTTTTTGTAATTTTGATTTATGAATTCGAATTGATCCTCCTGCAATCTCAAAACCATTCATAACCAAATCATAATGCAATCCTCTAACCTATAAATAAATAAATAATC